CCCACAGTGACAATAAACATTTTAAGTTAGTTGCTGCCCACAACTGGCCTTTTTCAAATTTTCAGAGTATGTCACCACAGTTAGAGGTGAGAGAAGACACTGCTCTTTTCAACATGTACAAAAGAAATGCTGAATGACTCACAGCACAACCAAACAGTGTATGTGCTTAGTAAAGGATTGTGTGTGAGTTTTATCCACACATACTTTCTGTATTTGAGTGGATTATGGTATTTTTTGCTTTTTTCTCACTGGGTAACTCTTCTTCTTCTCTTGGTACATATTTCTGTAACTGCAGTGTCACTGATCTCGTTGTTTGTCTGTTTCTGCACATGCTCCGTAGGACTGCATCAGTCTGGGTTCAGGTGAGCCCAACGTGCCAGAGCACCGCTCCTTTGTGCTCTACCATAACAACAGCCCGCGATGGAGCGAGGTGATCAAACTGCCGATTCCCATCGACCGTTTCAGAGGCTCCCACCTGCGCTTCGAGTTCAGACACTGCTCCAGTGAGTGTGTTACTTGTGTTAATACTGGGGCTGTCATGGCTAATGGGATGATCCGTGTGGAGAAAATAAATGAGGATCCAAGCACAGGCTTATTGTAAAAATAAAACCCAGAACCGTGACAGGTGCAGTGTAATAAGATGACAGATGCATCTGCATTTCTTGGCATGCAGATGCAGCAGCTGGCTGCTCACTATAATCCTCCCAGACTGATTAGGTGCTGCTTCAAGCAGGTGGTGACATTTTTGGAGTAATATCTAGAAAATATATCTAAATATAACATTAAAATCATCACCAAGTTACTCTTTGACCTTCTTATATGCAGGCTGTATCACTTTGTCTACAATAGTAAAGTAATAAACTGGTTTTCTGAATACATCTCTAATAATCTGAGAGACATTTAACCTCGGTGCGTTTCTCCTCTCACATGTTCCTTCTTCCACATTTTCTCTGCAGCAAAGGACAAAGGAGAGAAAAAGCTGTTTGGTTTTGCCTTCACGCCTCTAATGAGAGAGGATGGAACTACTCTCTCTGATGAGAGCCACGAGCTGTATGTCTACAAGGTCAGCTACACTAGAGCTTTTCTGTTTCCTGGCTGCTACTCATCAGCCTTCATCACACGTTCCTCATTTATTCTGCAGAGGAGTCTTTCTGTTGGCTGATGATTGCAGCAGAAATGACAATATTTACTTAGTATATATGTGAATTCTATTGTACTTCAGTAATCTCACAGTCTAACTATAAAGTTCACTTTAAATGTTGTGTACACTTTGTACATGATATCCACAACACCTTTACTGTTGCTCACCAAAACTGTACAGCAGGTCCAACTCCAGGCCTCGAGGGCCGTGTCCTGCAGGTTTTAGATCTCACCCTGGGTCAACACACCTGAATCA